TGTCTTTTATTTTGACAGCGAATGCGCACCTGCAGACCATTTATGTGCACCCCGCTTATAAGTGTGCCACAAAACCAACCAATCACAGACTTGGATGCAAAAAATTCTCATGGCTGTTTTGGTCACCAATAGCTCGCTAGCTACTGCATTCCGGAAACACTGTCCAGAATGTAGCTAAATCCAGTGGAGTGGTTTGGTTTAAACTAAATTAAAACCATAATAGTCTTGAAAAATAATATATTTTAAAATAAAATAATTAAACATAGTAACCGAAAATGGGTTTAGCTACATTCTGGACCGTGTTTCCGGAATGCAGTAGCTAGCGAGCTGATTGAAGACCCTAACAGCCAATCAGAAATTTTGCATCAAAGTCTGTGATTGGTTGGTTTTGTGGCACACTTATAAGGGTGTACAGAAAGAGGTGAGCGCGCAGGGTGCAGAAATGTTGAGAACAGGTCCGCAGGTGTCTGTCAGCAGACAGAGTAGAGATCTGAGCAAGAACAAATTCCAACAACTGAGCGAGAGGGGTTGTTATTGTGTGTGCATATGGATAATAGCAAACACTGAAATACATTTCTTGTATGCAGCAATGGATTTTGTTGGCTCAAATTAAACTTTTCTTCACTCAAAATAATTTTCTCCCCAAAATGCAACATTTGCACTTGCAATTTTTATTTTTATTTTTGCGTGCGTTTAGAATAGAGGGACAAAAATAACGCCATAGTAGTGCAGGTCATCTACTAATGGCCATGTTGGCGGTTTGATCCCTGGCTGTTCCAGCCTTCAGTCTGCATAACACAGTATCCATGGGCAAGATACTCGCCCCATTATTTTTGTGGGATTTAGAGGCACACTAGCCACTTAATGTATAAACATGTGCCGATCACTCTTTTAATAAGCGTGTCACTGTTTAGATAAATGAATAACAAACATGTAACACCAGGTTTGCCTCCATAAATAGAACAGGAGATGAACAATTAGCATAAAACAAACATCTAATTATCTCTTTTGTTGACAGTACAAATGTCAGAGTGCTCGCAAAAACTCAAGTGGCAACGTTGACTCTGAGGTGGGTATGAAAATGTTATCTTAAAAGATTGTGTAAGTGTTAATGCTGCGTCCCATTCTGAATTGGATGTGAATGTTTTCTCCTCAGGAGGGTTTGCGCAACACTGATTTCAGCACTACTCTGACAGTGTTTGGACTTAAGCCAAGATCAGGTAACACAGATGTCCTTGTTCTTTAAATGACACTGTCTGAATCGTTTGGCTCAGTGCTTTTCCTTTTCACTGGAATGATTGTCTCGGGGCTTACTTGGGCATAAAAATAGTAACAAAAATAAAGTCAATCAGACGGTTAGAACCCATCCTTCCCGTCGATTTGAAAAGATAATAAAAAACAAACTGCTGAAATGATATAAGTACGTTACATTTTACATGTTGTGTGGATATGAAAAAAGATCTCTCTCATATGTTCCAATTTTATTGAGCAAAAACCAAAACAATAGTGTTTACTTACTAAAAAAAAACCCTTCTAAAGACATCATAGGTAAAATAAGCTACTCTGTCTAAAGGATGTGTTACCGCGGAAAACATCGTCGATGCCTATATGTGTTGAAATGGCAATGTTAAGAATGCCTTGTTTTCACACTGAGTCACTTTCTTTTTAAGGTGGAGTCTCATCATTCTTTCACGAGAATTAGGGAGGGTTTTCTAAAGAACTGCCAGTCTGCGCCCCCATAACCAGCTTTTGGATACAGTCAGAAAATCTTCCTGGATGTACAAATAAAACTTGTTTTACTTTGACAGGAGGATAATAAATCGTGAATTGGCCTACCGAAAAAAAACAAAAGCAAAAAAACCAAACAAACAGTGTCGAGGGAAAAATCACGTCTGACAACCTCCTGACTGCATGTTCTCTCTCACTATAAATCTCAAAGAGCTAATCCTTGCCTTGCGTAGAGTGCAGTGCCAGCTGAGCGTTTTGTAATGCAGTTATGTCCACAATCTGTTCGCAATTTTTGTAATCTTACATCTGTACACTGGCGATTTTAAGTCACACGATCAAGATGTGATTGAAGTGCAGACTTTCATCTTTAATTCAACTGGCTTAACAAGTCTTTCTTTGTTTGTCTCCCGAAGCCTCCTTCAGTTGCATCAGTGTCTCTTTGGGCCTCATATTGAAGAAGTTGTTTTATTATTATCCAGTGCACAGCAAAAATAATCGCAGCGGTTTACACTGATCAGTAAAATTAAGAAAGTTATTGGAATTCTAATAAAAAATAAAGAGCCCAAATTTTTACAAAATAAAGTGCATCAAAGGAAGACATTAGAAGTGACCATGAAAGCCCAAGTTGTACTAATGCCTTATGCGAAGGTTTTTAAAAATTGAAAAAGGCTTAAAAGTTATGGCTGTGCAGCTCACAACTGTTTTGGACAAAAGTCTCCAATGAGCTTTGATGCACAGTGCTGAAGCAGAATGCTCTGCTGTTGCTTGACCTCTGACTGTCACATTTTACTTGACTGAGATACTCAGTTTGTGTCTCAGGTTCTGCCTTGAAGCGGTTTCTGCCTCGTATCTGTCTGATCGATTCCTTTCTTTTCGGCTGCTTTTAACTTCAGGTCGTCTTTGACTTCTCTTGATTATGGTGTACTACAAGGTTCTGTCTTGGAGGCTTTACTGTTGCTGTACCTCCTGCGTCTTTAGCACATTTTGACAACGTTTAAAGACGTTATTTGTCTCTTTTAAGCCCCAGGATGTTTCTGAGCGACAGATCTTGCATAGTTGCTTAGACTCTGTTAAAGGTTGGTCGGCTGACAGTTCTTCTCAAATTGAAGAGGAGAAAACGACTTTTCGTATGTGACCCTGAGAGATTTTTCCGTAAGATAATTGAAACTCTTGGACGCTTCCCACATTTGCTAAGTGTTAACTTTTGATGCGCTGTTTGCTCTTCCCTAAATCACTTAATTATTACCAGGCTGAGTCCTGCTGTGTCACGCTGTGAAATGGAAGTTCTTATTCATGCCTTGATTTTAATCAGGTCTGGATTATTAGAATTTGTTACTGGATTATTAACACAGCTTCTGTGAGGCTGAGAATGAAAGGAGACAGTGCTTTTGCAACAGTGGCCCCAAGACAAAACTCTTCTATTGTTGTATTTACATAATTTGTCATGGTGTAGCGAGGGAAGAGACCTCTTTTGGCAATGAACAGCCTATCGTCCAGTCCATTTTGAGCTTCTGCAAACTGGAATATGTCCAAATATCAAATATCTCTACTTCCTAAATAGTTGATGTAACATTTTTGATAAAGCTGAAAGTCTGCACTTTAGTCACATGTTGGCTGTTTCATTTAAAATAATTTCATTTAAAATATGCAGGCATTTTTGGGCAGTTTAATCCATAAAGTGTTATACCTTTTTTAGCCTATATATGGTTTGCAAATTAACTACTAACAAAATACAAACTTTAACACCGATCAGAGTATCTTGAAAAAATATTTTGACATATTTGTCACAGTGAAATGTTTTAGAACATCAGCACATTTTAATATTAGATCAAGATAATCTGAGTTGATACGAAATTCATGTTTTAAACAATGATTTTATTAATTAAGAGGAAACAAGCTATCCAAGTCTGCATGGTTCTTTGTCCAGGGTTGCCCCATCCATAGCAGTAAGAATTGAAATCAAACATTTATGAGAGTTTTGACTCACTCTTCTTTGCAGAATTGTTTTAATTCAGCCACACTGGAGAGTTTTTGAGTCTGTTCCAGGTCATGCCAAGACATTGTAATTGAATCAGAGTCTGAACTTTGACCAGGCCACTAAAAAAAACCTTTTAAAACCTATAGGTGGACAGTCTCCTTCAGGATTTTCTGGTAGTAAGCAGAATCCATGGTTCATAATCCTGAAGCAGCAAAGCAGCCTCAGCAAATCACATGACCACCACCATGTTTGGCTGTTAGGATGCTTATGAAATGCTGTGTTAGTTTTATGCCAGATGTAACTGGACTCCAGTTACTGGAAAGTTTGCTCATCAGTCCACAGAATATTTTCACATAAATTTGGGGGATGATCAAGATGTTTTGGCGTTTTTTTTGTGGG